CAGTTTGAAAACATACAAATGTGACTAGATCAATAGGTACCGCTTCTGCTGAAAGGTAATGGCGCTCCATGCAGTCATGCTGGGCACATGGCCTTGCAGACATCTATGGACAACGCCAGCTCTTCATCCTAGAAATGGAGATGAGCACCAACCCCAGAGTCAGACACAACTAGACTTAATGTCAGGGGAAACCCTTACCTTTACTTGGGCAGATATCAGTTTACTTCTGTTTTATTTTACTTGGAAACAGCTTGCAGGTCCAGAGAAATATCTTCCATGTACAGCTAAGGGATGTTTTAGCCTTCCTCCAGCCATTTAATTTTTTTTAAAAAAACCCGAATCCTTCCCTGTCTTTTGTATCTATTGTACTTTCATTTCAGGAGGGGCCATTGCGTTTTGCGCCTTCCAGATGCAAAAGGGCAAACACAATGGCTGACAAAAGCCAGGAAAAGTTTTCCTAAAAACTAACATAAAAGTAACTTCTCTAAAACAATAGGCGAGGAAGCCAGACAAAGGATTCTGGAACTGGTGCAGTTCCAGCACACATATGAAGAAATTTAAACTTTATTGGAAAGTTATAAAAGATGGTAGCAAAAACGGAGCAGTTGTTTAGAAAAAAGTTAATACAGAATGAATGTTATTAAAAATGCAGTAATGAATACATTGTGACAATGGAAACAGTTATAATGTGTATTGTTGAAGGCTTTCATGGCCAAAATCACTGGGTTGTTGTAGGTTTTTTCAGGCTATATGGCCATGGTCTAGAGGCATTCTCTCCTGACGTTTCGCCTGCATCTATGGCAAGCATCCTCAGAGGTAGTGGAGGATGCTTGCCATAGATGCAGGCGAAACGTCAGGAGAAAATGCCTCTAGACCAGTGTTCTCAACCTTCCTAATGCTGTGACCCCTTAATCCAGTTCCTCCTGTTGTGGTGACCCCCAACCATAAAATTACTTTTGTTGCTACTTCATACCTGTAATTTTGTTACTGTCATGAATCATCATGTAAATATCTGATATGCAAGATGTATTTTCACTCACTGGGCCAAATTTGGCACAAATACCTAATACGCCCAAATTTGAATACTGGTGGGGTTGGGGGGGGGGGGTGATTTTGTCATTTGGGAGTTGTAGTTGCTGGGATTTATAGTTCACCTACAATCAAAGAGCATTCTGAACTCCACCAACGATGGAATTGAACCAAACTTGGCACACAGAACACCCATGACCAATAGAAAATACTGAAAGGGTTTGGTGGACATTGACCTTGAGTTTTGGAGTTGTAGTTCACCTACATTCCGGGAGCACTGTGGGCTCCAAAAATGATAGATCTGGATCAAACTTAGCAAGGATACTCAATATGCCCAAATGTGAGCACTGGTGGAGTTTGGGGGAAATAGACCTTGTAGTTGCTGGGATTTATAGTTCAACTATAATCAAAGCATCCTAAACCCCACCAACAACAGAATTGGGCCAAACTTCCCACACAAAGCCCTGATGGTCTTTAGCGACCCCTCTGACACACCCTCACGACCCCTCCAGGGATCCCAACCCCCATGTTGAGAAACACTGCTCTAGACCATGGCCATATAGCCTGAAAAAACCTACAACAACCCAGTTATAATGTGACGAGACTCTAAAGAAAGAAGAAACGCTAAATTAAGTATCATAAACTAAATTTCATAGAGAGAAAAATCCAAGAATCCTTAAGTGACTGTAAATCAACAGCAGAATCTTTAGCCATGGCCCCATCTCCCTTGCCATATAATGCAGTTTCAAAATGCATTTATATGGGCAGTGCAGGCTCACATAATTCAGTTCAATGCAATTAAACTGCATTATATGGCAGCCTAGATGGGGTGATACTTTAATAATAATAAATAAAACTTTATTTATATACTGCTCTATCTCCCCAGGGGGACTCAGAGCGGTTTCCAAGTCACATCATTAATACATACGGAGTAATGTATAAGATTAACGAAACAATCTATATAAATAGAAATGTAATGTTAGTTTGTGGAATTAATGGAACTCAAAAACCACTGGACGAATTGACACCAAATTTGGACACAAGACACACAACAACCCAATGTATGTCCTTCACTCAAAAAAACTGATTTTGTCATTCGGGAGTTGTAGTTGCTGGGATTTATAGTTCACCTACAATCAAAGAGCATTCTGAATCCCCACCAATGATGGAATTGAACCAAACTTGGCACACAATTCTTCCAGAAAATACTGGAAGGGTTTGGTGTCCTTTGGTTTTGGAGTTGTAGTTCACCTACATCCAAAGAGCACTGTGGACTCAAATGATGAATCTGGACCAAACTCTACACAAATACTCAATATGCCCAAATGTGAACACTGGTGGAGTTTTGGAAAAATAGAATCTTGACATTTGGGAGTTGAAGTTGCTGGGATTTGTAGTTCACCTACAATCACAGAGCATTCTGAACCCCACCAACGATGGAATTGGACCAAACCTCCCACACAGAACCCCTCAACGTGTGGACCACAGCAACGTGTGGCAGGGGATGGCTAGTATAAGCATAAAAATTGTTGCCATAACACATATATATTAAGAGTAATCCTGCCTGATCAAGGCAATTTTTCAGTCCTACTATCAGTAACAAATGTTCTGAATATATGGTGTTAGGGAAATATCCGTTCCGACACAGAGGGAGGAAACAGACAGACAGCAGTTGATAGATTTCAAAGTCATTTACTGTTTGCAAAGAGTAATTGCTGTGGTGACAGACCGACTGCAAAGTTGGTACAACTGCCACCCCTTACACTGAGTGTAAGCTCAATTTAGACGATTGTTAAAAACATGCACAGTTGTAACTCATTATTTCATACATGCTTCCTAACAAGCTGGCATGACCATATTTGGGGGTATTGTTGCTCAATGAATGTCTCATTATTTCAAAGAGTTATACTGAGTTCAAATGCAAGGATCAGCAAGTTATCTAAAGTAGAGATCAGCAACTTATTCAAAGTACAAAAATCAGCAACTTGTTCAAAGCACAAAGATCAACAAGTTATTTAGAGTTCAAGTAAAATTACCCCTAAGTAAAATTTCCCCTGATTCAGCTCCTACAAAAATATTGGATTCATAGTCTAGATATTGTATTCTAAAGCAATATATGAAATATCTAACATGTAATATAGAAATTAAACATCACAAAAATAGATTATCCAAAGATAGGAATAATTGACAGCTTTCGTTCTAGAAATTCTTAAAATGTCATTAAGTTTTGGGTAACTCTTATACATACATTTTCTAGAGGCAAGCAGGCATAAAATGGCAAAACAAAGATTCTTAAAACTTAACTGAAAATATCAAAAGCTAAATTGGAGAGAATTTCTCTTTTAAAAATATTTCATATTCACGGATGTTTTAATACAGATGGACAGATTATTCACAGCATAATAATCAACATTCAGAAATCAAATAAAAAAAGAACTATACAGGAAAAATCCCACATCTGCAGAGGTTACATTTATGACTCTATGGCAACTCCATCAGCGCTGCCTCCGGAAAATCCTGCAAATCTCCTGGGAAGACAAGCGGAGAAACGTCAGCGTGCTGGAAGAAGCAAAGACCACCAGCATTGAAGCGATGGTCCTCTGCCATCAACTCTGCTGGGCCGGCCACGTTGTCCGGATGCCTGACCACCGTCTCCCAAAGCAGTTGCCCTACTCCAAACTCAAGAACGGAAAACGGAATGTTGGTGGACAGGAAAAGAGATTTAAAGATGGCCTCAAAGCCAACCTTAAAATCTCTGGCATAGACACTGAGAACTGGGAAGCCCTGGCCCTTGAGCGCTCCAGCTGGAGGTCAGCTGTGGCTAGCAGTGCTGCAGAATTTGAGGAGGCACGAGTGGAGGGTGAAAGAAACGTGCCAGGAGGAAGGCGCGTCAAGCCAACCCCGACCGGGACCGCCTTCCACCTGGAAACCAATGCCTTCACTGTGGGAGAAGATGTGGGTCAAGAATAGGGCTCGACAGCCACCTACGAATCCACAAGGAAACCCATCATGGAAGACCATCTTTCTCATCCAACGAGGGATCGCCTAAGTAAGTAAGGCAACTCCTAAGAGATTGGAATTGGCTACTCGAAGAATCTTTGGTCCAGTTAAGATGACTATATGGCTTCATTACTTGGGCTCAAATCTTCAGTTTGTTTTGTTTAATCAGGGTTTTGAATTTAGATGCAAGGCATGTTGATATGTCTGACGTTAAAATGCCATTTAATCTTTCCCCAACCTCAGAGCAACAAGTACTATTGGGTTACAATTCCCATTTTTCTGAGTCCACAAGGTAGATGATCAGAAGTGATGGGAACTGCCATTCAATAACATCTGGGGACCCAAACTGGGTATAAACTAAAGAGCGCCAGCCACTACATAAAAGAGTTATGGTTGTCTCTCTACATCAGGCATGGGCAAACTTTCAAACTTGGGGGCCGCATGGCGGGTCAGAGTGGGATGGGCGAGTTGCCCATTCCTCCCTTTCCTCCTCTCTTTCAGAGGCAGCAAGTGAAGGAAAGATGGGAAGCATTTGGATCCCAAAAGGATTAGCCTCAGTCAGGATGAGATGGTGGATGGGAGAGGAAAAAGTGTATCCATTAGACCCCATATTGCTTACTTCTGATATAGAATCCTAGAACTGGACAAGACCCCCAAAGGCCATCCAGTCCAACTTCCTGCCACGCAAGGAGGCTCAACCAAAGCACTCCTAATAGCTTCTGCAGAAAAGCCACCTGAGAAGGAGATTCCATCATACTCCAAGGCAGACTACCTCTTATTCTCGGGAAGTTCTTCCTAAACTTTTCAGTCAAATCTCTTTCCCTGCCATTTGAAACCATTGTTCCCTTGTGCCCTGGTCTCTAGACCAGCAGAAAGTCAGTTCCCACCCCTCCTCCTCAATGAATCTCAAAACATGGTTCTCATGTTCCCTCTTGACCTTCTCTTCTCCCAGCTAAACATCCCCCAGGAGGAAGGGAAAAGAGAAGGGAGGAAGAGAAGATGGAAGGAAGTGTGGAACGGACTGGAGGGAGGGAGGAAAGACAAAAGGAAAGGAAAGGAAGGAGAAAGAGTGAGAGGGAAGGAGGGAGGAAAGAGGGAAGGAAGGAGGGAGAAAGAGGAAGGTAAAGAAAGAAGGGAGGGATGGAAGGAGGAAGGAAAGAGAGAAGGAAGGATAGGATGGTGAGAGAGAGGAGGGACTGAAAAAAGAGTCCAAGGGGCTGCATTTGGTTCCCAGGCCTGGGTTTGCCCATACCTGCTCTACACCCATGGATTTTCCATCTATTCAACAGCCCTCTGAAGCAGCTATACTGAATTGGTCAAAAACATTGATCCATCTGATAATCAAAGCCCCATAGTTTTTGAAGAAGCTGACTTAAAATGTGGCTTGCATACATACTTAATTTATGGAAAAGGACCAGAAGACCCAAACTTTAATAAACACCCAATTAGGAAAATTCTGATAAGAACTTGGAACAAGCTCTACAATGGTTTTTTGAAACTCAGTTTCCTCTTTTCACTGGAGGTCTTTGCTCCCTCTATGCATTTGGATGTTTTTTCCTGCGCGTGCATCCTTTCATGACGAGTAACGCTATCTTTACAGCTGAAATGCGTTCCGCATTCTGTGCATTGATATGGTTTTTCTCCTGTGTGGCTTCTCCGGTGGATGGAAAGGTGTGAATGTTGAGTGAAGCTTTTCCCACAGGTGGTGCACTTATACGGTTTCTCACCAGTGTGGGTTCTTTGGTGCAAAGTAAGGCTGGTACTTAAGCGGAAGTTCTTTCCACACTCCATGCATTTATACGGTTTCTCCCCTGTGTGTTTTTTTTTATGATTAATGAAATTTCCACCATTACTGAAGCTCTTTCCACATTCTAGGCATTTATATGGCTTCTCCCCTGTGTGGATTCTCAGATGTGTAGTAAGATGCGGCTTTTGGCGGAAGCTCTTTCCACACTCCAGGCAGGTATATGGTCTCTCCCCTGTGTGGGTTCTCTGGTGCAGAGTTAGTTTCCCTGATTCCCGGAAGGTCCTTCCACACTCCAGGCATTGATATGGTTTCTCTCCTGTGTGGAGTCTTCGGTGCACAGTAAGCTCTTGACTTGAACCGAAGCTCTTTCCGCATTCCATACATTTATGTGGTTTCTTCTTTGTGTGGACTCTTCGATGCGCAGAAAGGATAGTACTTAAACGGAAGCTCTTTCCACACACTACACATGTACATGGTTTTTCCCCTGTGTGGATTCTTTGGTGGCCAGTAAGACTTCCTTTGTTATTGAAGCTCTCTCCACACTCTAGGCATTTATATGGTTTCTCTCCTGTGTGGACTCGTTGATGTAAAAGTAAGTTATTGCTTAAACGGAAGCTCTTTTTGCACTCCATGCATTTATAAGGCTTTTCACCTGTATGAAGTCGCTGATGTGTTGTCAGACGTCCAGCAACAGGGAAACTCTTTCCACACTCCAGGCATTGATATGGGTTCTCTCCACTGTGAATTTTTTGGTGGATAGTAAGGCTTCCTCTTAAGCTGAAACTCTTCCCACATTCTGTGCACTGATATGGTTTCTCCCCTGTATGTATCCTTTGATGCGTAGTAAGGTGTCCTCTGTGGTTGAAATTCTTACCACATTCTGTGCATTTAAATGATTTGCCCCTTCTGCGGGTTCTTTGGCATGAGGAAACAGTTGGACTGATACTATTTTCAGACTCCATGGATTTCTATGGCTCTTGCTCTCTGCTCATTCAGCTCTGCCCAAAAGTACTTGAAATTGTTGAGTTTTCCCAAACAGTGAACACCTTCTGCTTTTCTCACCTTCTTGGATCAGACAGTCATGGACATTAGAGAAATGGAGGGAGTTCTCATCCTACTTGTTGACTTATTTTCCACTTGATCCACTTTATTCCTGCTTCATCCTTGCTTCCTTCCAATGGATTCACAGAAAGCTACGTAAGAGTTCTTTCCCATTACCTGCTTGTGGAGAAAAAAAATCAATTATTAAACATGTTCTGTTTATGGCCAGCCTGGTGTAGGTGTTGTAATGGTTTTCTCACTGGGCTTGAATCCCTGCCCAGTACAAAAACCTTTGGTTCACCATAGGCTGGAAATTTTTTGAAGGCAAACAAACAAACAAACAAACAAAAAGGTACAGGTTGGAAAAAAAAAAAACCCTGAAAGTGGACTTTAATGAACAACTGAAAGCTTTTGCGTGGATATATAATTTTTTTCCCTAATAATAATAATAATAATACTTTATTTATACCCCACCACCATCTCCCCGAAGCGACTCGGGCGGCTTACATGAGGTCAAGCCCGTCAAATACAAATACAACAATACATTAACAAACAAGCAAGCAAATAAAACAATGGGTTGTTGTAGGTTTTTCGGGCTGTATGGCCATGTTCTAGAGGCATTCTCTACTGACATTTTGCCTGCATCTATGGCAAGCATCCTCTGAGCATCCCAAAGTCAAAACCAGTCGCTACTCTACCACTCCAAATTCCCACGCACACTTAAATATATTTAACGTTGCCTTCCCACCTCACTAATTAAATACACCAATAATATAATATAAAGTAATAAAGAAAAACTACAGTACATCTCACCTTACTAAGTCCCTTTGTAAGCAGCCCTGAGTCCCTTAGGGGAGATGGAGGAGGGGTATAAAAATAAAGTTGCTATGATTATGATTATTATTCTGCATCGTCACTTCCTGCCACATAAACACCAAAAGCAGACCATATATGGAAACGAAAGAAAACACTGCCGGCAAAGTCCTATTGACTCACACAAACTGTATTTTCCAGTTTTGAAGATAATGCAGCTTTGCTGTTGAGAGGTTTAATTATTTTTTAAAATCTGGGTGCGAAATATGCAGGCTGAAATACACAGCCTGGAAAAAAAATCCTGCCCAGAAAACATAGCTGCACACATTGCTTTCTAAATGTGAGTCTCGCCAGGTGTTTTGGCCTGCAACTCCCAGAAATCCCAGCCAGTTTACCAGCTGTTAGGACTATTTTATTTATTGTGTCAGCAGCAACCAGACATTTGTATTACATTTTTAACAAAAACAAACAAACAAACAGACAAAACACAAAGTTTGCAAGCTTGGTAGTTGATTAAATGTCCTTTGACCAGTATCTGACCACTTGGAGTGCCTCTGGTGTTGCCGCAAGGAGGTCCTCCATTGTGCATGTGGCAGGGCTCAGGTTGCATTGCAGCAGGTGGTCAGTGGTTTGCTCTTCTCCACACTCGCATGTCGAGGATTCCACTTTGTAGCCCCATTTCTTAAGATTGGCTCTGCATCTCGTGGTGCCAGAACATAGTCTGTTCAGCGCCTTCCAAGTCGCCCAGTTTTCTGTTAGGACTTAGAATCATAGAGTTGGAAGAGACCTCATGGGCCACCCTTTACAACCCCCCTGCCAGGAAACAGGAACATTGCATTCAAGGCACCCCTGACAGATGGCCATCCAGCCTGTTTAAAAGCTTCCAAAGAAGGAGCCTCCACCACACTCTGGGGCAGAGAGTTCCACTGCTGAACGGCTCTCACAGTCAGGAAGTTCTTCCTCATGTTCAGATGGAATCTCCTTTCTCGTAGTTTGAAGCCATTGTTCCGCGTCCTAGTCTCCAGGGAAGCAGAAAACAAGCTTGCTCCCTCCTCCCTGTGACTTCCTCTCACATATTTAAACTGCTAGGTTGGCAGGAGCTGGGGCTAACCGCAGGAGCTCACCCCATCCTGCAGATTCCAACTGGCAACTTCAGGTCAACAAATTCAGTAGCTCAATGGTTTAACCTGTTGCTTGCAAATTAATCACTTTACATCAGTGCAAAAAAAATGTCTCCTCTTGTTACATTCCCTACTTCTCTCACCTGGTGAATAGACCTTAGATTTCTGGTGGGGTATTATGGGATACCCGTTTAAAAGCCTCCACAGAAGGAGCCTCCACCACACTCCGGGGCAGAGAGTTCCACTGCTGAACGGCTCTCACAGTCAGGAAGTTCTTCCTCATGTTCAGATGGAATCTCCTCTCTTGTAGTTTGAAGCCATTGTTCCTGTCCTAGTCTCCAGGGAAGCAGAAAACAAGCTTGCTCCCTCCTCCCTGTGGCTTCCTCTCACATATTTATACATGGCTATCATATCTCCTCTCAGCCTTCTCTTCTTCAGGCTAAACATGCCCAGCTCCTTAAGTTGCTCCTCATAGGGCTTGTTCTCCAGACCCTTGATCATTTTAGTCGCCCTCCTCTGGACACATTCCAGCTTGTCAATATCTCTCTTGAATTGTGGTGCCCAGAATTGGACACAATATTCCAGGTGTGGTCTAACCAGGGAAGTCTCCAGGGAAGCAGAAAACAAGCTTGCTCCTTCCCCCCTATGACTTTTCCTCACATATTTATACATGGCTTGGCTATCATGTCTCCTCTCAGTCTTCTCTTCTTCAGGCTAAACATGCCCAGCTCCTTAAGCCGCTCCTCATAGGGTTTGTTCTCCAGACCCCTGATCATTTTAGTCACCCTCCTCTGGACACATTCCAGCTTGTCAACTTCTGGGAGTTGAAGGCAAAAACATCTGGGGACCCACAGGTTTAGAACCAGTGCTCTAAAGCAAGGCTGGTTTTCTTTGTAACTGAATAAAACGTATTTTTGGGGAGAGACCCCCTTATTCAACCCCCCCCTCCCTGCTCCAGGGGAAAAAGTGAAACTAACCAGGAAAAGGTTTTCCTTTCCCTCCAATCTTGCAACCCAGCATTGCATCCTGTTCCCCAAGTGGAGGCTCCTTCTTTGGAAGCTTTTAAACAGGGGCTGGATGGCCATCTGTCAGGGGTGATTTGAATGCAATATTCCTGCTTCTTGGCAGAATGGGGTTGGACTGGATGGCCCAGGAGGTCTCTTCCAACTCTTGGATTCTATGATTCTAAAGCTCTCCATCAGGCCAATATTGCAGCCCCAGCATGGCATCCCTACCTCCTCGTGGCTCCTCTTCCCCTGCTTTCACTCTTCCTGCCTCACCAAGGAGAGAAGCGGAAGCGGAATCGACGCTCCTTGGTTTGCTCTCTCCAAGGACTTCCTGGGCAAAACAATGCCCTGCCTCTCTAGGAAGCAGGATGGGCTCCATGGTGCTTTGGAGGCCAACTGTGTGTCAGGACCAGGCCCCACCAAACACAGGGCTGCTGGGTGTCAATGGAAGGGCATGGGTGGGAACTCACAGTAGAAGCATCTACACCAGGCATGGGACAACTTTGGCCCTCCAGTTGTTTTGGACTTCAACTCCCACCATTCCTGGCCTCAGGCCCTTTCCTTTTCCCCCTCGGCCGCTTAAGCTTCCAACATTTGTTGTCTATATTCTCTCCTGACATGTTGCCTACATCTATGGCATCTATGGCAGGCATTCTCAGAGGTCTAAGATCTACAGAGACACTCGTTGGAACACCTCAGCAAGCAAGAGTCCAAAAGTGGCAGGCTCAAACCCAAAACTCCTCAAGGACCAAAGTTTGCCCATGCCAAGAGAATGCAGTTTGAATTGCCATGCCCAAATGCTATGGAATGGTGGAATTTGTAGTTTGGTGGGACACCAGCACCCTTTGGCAGGGAACTCCCATTATCCCATAGCATGCAGACATGACAATTGAAGTAGTGCGGATGCTGCCAATGAAGAAGCTGTAAGGAAAAAGGAAGTGAAGACATGCTCACTGATGGAGGAATCGAGGAATTTGAGGAAAAGCCTCTTCCTGTTTTGTAAAAGGGATGTTCCTTGAAGTCCTTCCAGAAAGGTCATCTATGCCAGATTATCTGTTTTGAAATGGATTATATAGAATCATAGGTTGGAAGAGACCTCATGGGCCATCCAGTCCAACCCCCTGCCAAAAAGCAGGAATATTGCATTCAAATCACCCCTGACAGATGGCCATCCAGCCTCTGTTTAAAAGCTTCCAAAGAAGGAGCTTCCACCACACTCCGGGGCAGAGAGTTCCACTGCTGAACGGCTCTCACAGTCAGGAAGTTCTTCCTCATGTTCAGATGGAATCTCCTCTCTTGTAGTTTGAAGCCATTGTTCCGTTTCCGAGTCTCCAGAGCAGCAGAAAACAACCTTGCTCCCTCCTCCCTATGACTTCCCCTCCCATATTTATACATTGCTATCATGTTTCCTCTCAGTCTTCTCTTCTTCAGGCTAAACATGCCCAGCTCCTTAAGCCGCTCCTCATAGGGCTTGTTCCCTAGTCTCCAGGGAAGCAGAAAACAAGCTTGCTTCCTCCTCCGTGACTTCCTCTCACATATTTATACATGGCTATCATGTCATATCATGTTTCTTTTTCTCTCCAATAGTGTGCATAAACTATTCTAGCTGCTGATATTAGATAACTAAATAGTGCCTCTTTATTTCTGTCCCAGTCTAGATCTAAGATGCCCAGAAGGAAATATTCTGATTTGAATTGAAATTTTGTTTCTAGGATTGCTTATTATAGCTAAGTATTGTACCTCCCTGCAATACTTATTAGCTATTTTGCAGCTCAACCACATGTGGTGGAACGTCCCTTTTTCTTTCTCGCATTTCCAGCATTTTCCAATATTAAAAAACCCCTCTCTAGTTACTCTTTTGTTGACATCATTGTATTTATTTATCATGTCAGGGACAACCAGACCATTGTATTACATTTCTAACAGAACAAAACAAACAGACAAAAAACAAAGTTTGCAAGCTTGGTAGTTGATTAAATCTCCTTTGACCAGTGTCTGACCACTTGGAGTGCCTCTGGTGTCACTGTGAGAAGGTCCTCCATTGTGCATGTGGCAGGGCTCAGGTTGCATTGCAGCAGGTGGTCAGTGGTTTGCTCTTCTCCACACTCGCATGTTGTGGATTCCACTTTGTGGCCCCATTTCTTAAGGTTGGCTCTGCATCTCGTGGTGCCAGAGCGCAGTCTGTTCAGCGCCTTCCAAGTCGCACAGTCTTCTGTGTGCCCAGGGGGGAGTCTCTCATTTGGTATCAGCCATTGATTGAGGTTCTGGGTTTGAACCTGCCACTTTTGGACTCTCGCTTGCTGAGGTGTTCCAGCGAGTGCTCTGTAGATCTTAGAAAATTATTTCTTGATTTAAGTCGACATGCTGGCTGATACCCAAACAAGGGATGAGCTGGAGATGTCTCTGCCTTGGTCCTTTCACTATTGGCTGCTACTTCCCGGCGGATGTCAGGTGGTGCAATACTGGCTAAACAGTGTAATTTCTCCAGTGGTGTAGGGTGCAGACACCCTGTGATAATGCGGCATGTCTCATTAAGAGCCACATCCACTGTTTTAGTGTGGTGAGATGTGTTCCACACTGGGCATGCATACTCAGCAGCAGAGTAGCATAGCGCAAGGGCAGATGTCTTCACTGTATCTGGTTGTGATCCCAGGTTGTGCCAGTCAGCTTTCGTATGATATTGTTTCTAGCACCCACTTTTTGCTTGATATTCATTGTGAGATATTAATATTATTCCTCCTATTATTATTAATGCACTTAATAATAATCCCTTTTGTAGGAGTTCTTTAGAATGGGACCTGTTTTTTATTGCTGACATTCTCTTGAAGGAGGAGTACCATTTGAAAGAGAGTCCACAATAAAGACCATTCTGCAGCTTCAGAGGTTTTTTTCTATTTCATTTCTTGCTGCTGTCATTTTTGGACCTGAAATAGGACAACTCTCAACCAAAGAGAAATTTCCAGAGGAAGATTCCCATCTGAAATTACTGGAAGTTACAATGCACGTATAAAGAAATGTAAACTTTATTGGAAAGCTATAAAAGATGGTAGCAAAAAGGAGCAGACGTTTGCAAAACAGTGAATACCGAATGCATGGTATTAAAAATGCATTCATTAATACATTGTGGTAATGCAAACAGTTATAATGCAACTAGACTATAAATAAAGAAGAAACGCTAAATTAAGTATTATAAACCAAATTAAAAAGAGAGAAAAATCAAAGAAGCATTAAATGACTGTAAATCAACAACAGAATCTTTAACTATGGCTCCATCTAGGCTGCCAGTAGGTTATTGCAGGCTCATATAATGCAGTTATATAATAAAGCGAGGAGGAGCTGAGGAGCCTTCTAATCAAGGTGAAAGAAGAAAGCGCAAAAGCCGGGTTGCAGCTAAACATCAAAAAAACCAAGATTATGGCAACAAGAATGATTGACAACTGGGAAATAGAGGGAGAAAATGTAGGCAGTGACAGACTTTGTATTTCTAGGTGCAAAGATTAATGCAGACGCAGACTGCAGCCAGAAATCAGAAGACGCTTACTGCTTGGGAGGAGAGCAATGACCAATCTCGATAAAATAGTGAGAAGTAGAGACATCACACTGCCAATGAAAATCTGCATAGTTAAAGCAATGGTATTCCCCATAGTCACCTTCAGATGTGAGAGCTGGACGATAGGGAAGGCTGAGCGAAGGAAGAGAGATGCTTTTGAACTGGTGTTGGAGGAAAGTGCTGAGAGTGCCTTGGACTGCGAGAAGATCCAACCAGTCCATCCTCCAGGAAATAAAGCCCGACTGCTCATTGGAGGGAAGGATACTAGAGACAAAGTGGAAGTACTTTGGCCACATCATGAGGAGACAGCAAAGCCTAGAGAAGACAATTATGCTGGGGAAAGTAGGAGGTAAAAGGAAGAGGGGCCGACCAAGGGCAAGATGGATGGATGGCATCCTTGAAGTGACTGGACTGACCTTGAAGGAGCTGGGGGTGGTGACGGCCGACAGGGAGCTCTGGCGTGGGCTGGTCCATGAGGTCACGAAGAGTCGGAGACGACTGAACGAATGAACAACAACAATAATGCAGTTCAAGGCAATCAAACTGCATTACACGGCCGTCTAGATGGGAACATATTTTCAGTCCTTCTACTGTAGTAACAAATGTTCTGAATATATGGTACTGGACTCATAAAGCCTAGATATGGTATTCTAAAGCAATATATGAAATATCTAACACGTAATATACAAATTAAATATCACAAAAATAGAATATCCAAAGATGGGAATCACTGACAGCCATCTCTCTAAAACTTCTTACGCCCTCATTTATTTTTGGGTTAATCTTTTATAGACGTTTTCTAAAGGCAAGGATGCATACAAACAAAGATTCTTAAAACCAAACTGAAAATATCAAAAATTGAACAGAAGAGTATTTCTATCTCTCTTGTAAAAATATTTCATATTCACTGATGTTGTTAATACAGATAAACTACTTCACACTGTAAAAACCAACATTCAGAAAGCAAATTTTAAAAAAAGAACTTCACAGTAAAAATCCCGTATCTGCAGGGGTGACATTTCTGACCATGAAATTGCATACATGACTAAACACCATTAAATTCCCTCATTTGCAGTCCTTTGCATACTATAGAGCTGTGTTGGAGGATCTAGAGCAGTGGTTCTCAACCTGTGGTTCCCCAGGTGTTTTGGCCTACAACTCTCAGAAATCCCAGCCAGTTTAACCTCTGGTTGAGAACCACTGACTAGAGGTACCTTCTCTAGAAATTTGCTTAATCTTTTAACATAACTATATGGCAACTCCTGGGGATGGTCATTGGTGGCTCTATGGATCTTTGGTCCAGTTAAGATGAATATAGGGTTTCATGCCTAGAGCTGAAATCTTCAGTTTATTTTGTGAACCAGAATAAAGGATTAAACCCTTGTGCCGGCAGACCTGCTGACCGAAAAGTCAGAAGTTCGAATCCGGGGACTGGGGTGAGCTCCTGTCTGTCCGCTCTACCTCCCCATGCAAGGATATGAGAGAAGCCTCCCACAGGATGGTAAAATATCAAACATCCGGCCGTCCCCGGACAACGTCCTTGCAGACAGCCAATTCTCTCACACCAGAAGTGACTTGCATTTTCTCAAGTCACTCCTGACATGGGACAAAAAATGGGAATAGTGAGGTTTGAATTTAAATATATGTTATATGTTTTGATAGTGGTTGTTGATATAACTGTATGTGATATTGTTTTATACTCATGTAAAATCATAGAATCATAGAGTTGGAAGAGACCTCATGGCCCATCCAGTCCAACCCCCTGTCAAGAAGCAGGAAATTTGCATTCAAAGCACCCCCAACAGATGGCCATCCAGCCTCTGTTTAAAAGCCTCCAAAGAAGGAGCCTCCACCACACTCAGAGAGTTCCACTGCTGAACGGCTCTCAGTCAAGAAGTTCTTCCTAATGTTACCGTTGTATGTTATATGCTGCACCCTGGAGTGCCTTTGTAAGCTGCCCTGAGTCCCTTCGGGGAGATGCTGGCGGGATATAAATAATTTTTTTAATTCCCTCATTTCCAGTCCTTTGCATACTAGAGAGTTGTGTTGGGGGATCTAGAGATAGCATCTCTAGAAATTTGCTTAATCTTCTGACATAACTCTATGAGGATTGGTACTGGCGTCTCTAAGGATCTTTGGTCCAGTTAAGATTAATATATGATTTCATCCCTAGAGCTGAAATCTTCAGTTTATTGTGCTAATCAGAATAGTGAGGTTTGAATTTAGACTCAAGGCGTGTGGATATGATGTCTGACGTTAAAATGCCATTTAACCTTTCCACAACCTCAGAGCCAAAAGCGCTATTGGGTGACAATTCCCATTATTCTTTGACGACAAGGTGGATCATTAGAAATGATGGGAGTTGTTCAATAACATCTGGAGAGCCAAACTGGGTAAATACTAAAAAGCACCAGCCACTATATAAAAGAATTATAGTTGGCTCTCCGCATCCACAAATTTTCCATTTATTCAGCAGCTTTTAAATTGGTTAAAAGAATGGATCCAACTCGATAGTCAAAGCCTTATAGTTCTTGAAGGAGCTGAATTAAAGTTTGGCTTGCATGCATACTTAATTTATGGGAAAGTGGCAGAAGACCCAAACTTTATTAAACACCCAATTAAGAAAATTCTGATGAGAACTTGGAACAAGCCCTACATCAGTTTTTGAAGCATAGTTTCCTCTTTTCACTGAAGGTCTTTGCTCACTCTATACATTAGGATATTTTCCTCAGGCATGCATCTTCTGATGACGAGTAACGCTTTCTTTACAGCTGAAATGCTTTCCGCACTTTGTGCATTGATATGGTTTATCTCCTGTGTGGCTTTTCCGGTGCCTGGAAAGGTGTGTATGTTGATTGAAGCTTTTCCCGCAGGTGGTGCACTTATACGGTTTCTCACCGGTGTGGATTCTTAGGTGTGAGGAAAAACTAGCACTAAAGCGGAAGCTCTTCCCACACTCCATGCATTTATATGGTTTCTCCCCTGTGTGGTTTCTTTGATGATTACGGAGGTTTCCGCTATGGCTGAAGCTTTCTCCACATTCGTGGCATTTGTATGGTTTCTCCCCTGTGTGGATTCTCAGGTGTATAGAAAGGTGGGGCTTTTGGCGGAAGCTCTTTCCACACTCCAGGCAGGTATATGGTCTCTCCCCTGTGTGGGTTCTTTGGTGGACAGTTAGTTCCCCTGATTTCCGGAACGTCCTTCCACACTCTAGGCATGAATATGGTTTCTCCCCTGTGTGGAGTCTTCGATGCAAAGTAAGGTCATGACTCTGATTGAAGCTCTTTCCGCATTCCATACATTTATATGGTTTCTCCCCTGTATGGGCCTTTCGATGTGCAGAAAGGATAGTGCTCAAACGGAAGCTCTTTCCGCACACTTCACAGTTAAATGGTTTTCCCCCTGTATGGATACTTTGGTGGCCAGTAAGGCTTTCACTCCTATTGAAGCTCTTGCCGCACTCTTGACACTTATATGGTTTCTCCCCTGTGTGGAGTCTTTGATGCGTACGAAGGTTACTGTAGTAACGGAAGCTCTTTCTGCACTCCAGGCATTTATAAGGCTTTTCACCTGTATGGAGTGGTTGATGTGTTCTCAGATTTCCAGCACTGCGGAAACTCTTCCCACATTCTGTGCATTGATATGGCTTCTCCCCTGTATGTATCATTTGATGTCTAGTAAGATGTCCTCTACTGTTGAAACTCTTATCACATTGTATGCATTTAAATGGTTTCCCCCCTGCGTGGGTTCTTTGATGTGAGGAAAAAGTTGGAATGAAATTGTTTTCAAACTCCATGGATTTCGATGTCTCTTGCTCTCTGCTGATTTGGCTCTGCCCAATAGTACTTGAAATTGTTGAGTTTTCCCACACAGTGAATGCCTTCTGCTTTTCTTGGATCAGTCATTCATGGACATCAGAGAAATGGAGGGAGTTCTCATCCTACTTGTTGACTTATCTACCACTTTGATCCACTTTTATTCCCAACAGTCTTTATTCCTGCTTCATCCTTGTTTGCTTCCAGTGGATTCACAGATCACTACTTGAAGAGTTCTTTCCCATTACCTGCTTGTGAAGAAAAAAAATCAATTATTAAATGTCTTCTATATGTGCGCAGGGAGCCAGTCTCGTGTAGGTGTTGTAGGTGTTGAATCCCCACCACATACAAACACCTTTGGTTCAATGTAGGTTTGAAATTATTTGAAGGCAAACAAAAAAAAATTCTAGGTACAAGTTGGAAAAAAAGAAACCTTAAAGTGGACCAAAAGAACCACAGAATGCTTTTGCGTGAATATATGAAGAATTGATCCTACTGCCCAGTGTCAATTTGTTCACCTTTATTGCAAGACCAATGTTCACATCTTAAGGAAACAAAAATGCTCTGTGTAGGCTGACCACCCCTTATCTGGAGTTCCAAAATAATTGGTCACATGTTTCGAGTGGTTAGGGGACTCCTCCACCCTGGGTTCCTGGAGGGGCCCCTTGATCACTTGACAACTCGATGTGGCAAATTTGCCCATCATTTTGCAGATAAAGTCACTCAGATACGCTCCAACTTAGATGTCAGCTTTAAAGCAATACTCCAGTAAAAACAGAATTGCTAATTCAATATTTTTCTCTCCACAAGAAAATGGAGGATGGGGAGCACCTTGCCTTCTGTTAGGGATTCCTCATCTTTGGAAGAGGAAGGGGAACAGGGAAGTGCTCAGGAATTGGAGGCAGAAGAAAAATCAGACAATGAGGGTTTGAAAGTGCCCACATTTCTAGAGAGACGAAAAGACACAGAGCACAGATGGCGCTGAGCTAGAATAGCTGCTAAAAACGTTGAGCTAATTGGGAGGCACCCTCGTACCTCCTGCATGGGGAATTCAGGGCTATAAATCAGTAGCAGTAACAAGAACCTTGATACTGATGTTTTCACTCCAATGGAATCTGCTTTGTGTCTGCTGCTAAAGACTTAGTTCATTGCCCATTGTCTGATGGAAGACTGCTGTTTCTTTTGGGATTTTTGTAAGAGACTTTAATTTGTGTCTGGATTAAGACTTCTTGCTTTCTTTTGCACTTTTCAATTGCATTTGCTTATCCTTTGTGTCTGCTGAAGTAAAGCGTTTTTCTTTTACTTTCAACATTGTATTAAGACTGTTTTTGAAGGGACACTTTGAAGCTTGCCAACTGGCCAGGTTACTTGAACTGGGCACTGGTGAGCCCAAAAGTTGGGTCAGATAAGAGAAATAAATGGATGGGAATATGGTTCATGTCTAATGGGGAAAATTGGATGCAGATACGCAGTAGTCTTAACAGGCACAATGAAGGACTCGGTAAAAGAACAAAAGTAATTTAAAAATTTGAAAAGATTTCAGGCCTAACCATTAATATTGAAAAATAAGAAATTTTACATAAAAACCTGAACTGGAAGGAGGTAAAAGAAGCCCAATCTATTCTAGAGGTAAACCTAGGGGGAAAGAAGTTGAAATAACTAGGAGTATTGAATGTGATTTTCCTGCTTCTTGGCAGGGGGTTGGACTGAATGGCTCACAAGGTCTCTTCCAATTCTATGATTCTCTGAGTCAATATACCAAAAAATTAAATAATCCAGATAAATAATAACTAATCATGGGAAAAAGTAAGTAAACAAATCAACAATTGGGAAAAATGAATTGGGACATAACAACAAGGCTGAAGGCATGTGAAATAGTACCTAAATTTCTATACTTATTTCAAACCCTCCCATTTAGTGTCCCACCTAAAATAATCAAGAAATGGGATAATTCAATCAAAATGTGGATAGTAGGTTCCAGCAAGAATAGAATTGCAAACACAATAATTTTTACTCCACAAGAAAATTGAGCCTCCAGAACTACTCTGAAGCCTGCGAATTGGTCAGGTTACTTGAATTGGACATTGGAGAGTCCAAAATATGGGTCAGACTAGAGAAACGAATACACGGGTGGGAATATGGATCATGTCTTATGGGGAAACTTGGGGAAAAAGACCTAAAATATAACAGGAGACCCTTTGACATCAACAATGCTATGTTAGGAAAATGGCAAGATAAACTTCCAATAAATAAAATCAATATGTTCCCAATAGGATCCAAAGAGAACAGAACATCCCAGCTATATTGGAACATGTCAAAGAAATTGGAACAACATTTTGTAACCCGATGGAACAGTAATATTTATATTTATTTATGACATTCATATGCTGCCCTTCTCATCCCAAGGGGACTCAGAACGGCTTACAAGTTATTTATTTATTTCCTGTATTTATATACCACCTTTCTCAGCCCGTAGGTGACTCAAGGCAGTTAACAGGCTAAAATTCAATGCTTACAATATCATAAATACATTTTTTTTTGTCGTGTCAGGAGTGACTTGAGAAACTGCAAGTCGCTTCTGGTGTGGGAGAATTGGCCGTCTGCAAGGACGTTGCCCAGGGGATGCCCGGATGATTTTTTGATGTTTTTTTAAATACAATTTTTAAATACAATTAAAAACATAACATATAATAAAAGCTTAACAAATCAATAAAATATAAATTCATAGTAGAATCATAGGGTTGGAAGAGACCTCATGGGCAATCCAGTCCAACCCCCTGCCAAGCAGCAGGAAAATTGCATTCAAAGCACCCCCGACAGATGGCCATCCAGCCTCTGTTTAAAAGCTTCCAAAGAAGGATCCTCCACCACACTCCAGGGCAGACAGTCCAACCCCCTGCCAAGACACAGGAAAACTGCATTAAAAGCACCCCCGACAGATGGCCATCCAGCCTCTGTTTAAAAGCTTCCAAAGAAGGAGCCTCCACCACACTCCGGGGCAGAGAGTCAGGAAGTTCTTCCTCATGTTCAGATGGAATCTCCTCTCTTGTAGTTTGAAGCCATTGTTCCGCGTCCTAGTCTCCAGAGAAGCAGAAAACAAGCTTGCTCCCTCCTCCCTGTGGCTTCCTCTCACATATTTACACATGGCTATCATATCTCCTCTCAGCCTTCTCTTCTTCAGGCTAAACATGCCCAGCTCCTTAAGCCGCTCCTCATAGGGCTTGTTCTCCAGACCCTTGATCATTTTAGTCGCCCTCCTCTGGACACATTCCAGCTTGTCAATATCTCTCTTGAATTGTGGTGCCCAGAATTGGACACAATGTTCCAGGTGTGGTCTAACCAGGGAAGTCTCCAGGGAAGCAGAAGACAAGCTTGCTCCCTCCTCCTTGTTGACTTTCTCTCACATATTTATACATGGCTTGGCTATCATGTCTCCTCTCAGCCTTCTCTTCTTCAGGCTAAACATGCCCAGCTCCTTAAGCCGCTCCTCATAGGGCTTGTTCTCCAGACCCCTGATCATTTTAGTCACCTTCCTCTGGACACTTTCCAGCTTGTCAACTTCTGGGAGTTGAAGGCAAAAACATTTGGGGACCCACAAGTTGAGAACCAGTGCTCTAAAGTAAGGCTGGTTTTTTTTTATATCTGAATAAAACATATTTTGGGGGAGAGACCCCCTTATTCAACCCCCCCCCCTCCCTGCTCCAGGGGAAAAAGTGAAACTAACCAGGAAAAGGTTTTCCTTTCCCTCCAATCTTGCAACCCAGCATTGCATCCTGTTCCCCAAGTGGAGGCTCCTTCTTTGGAAGCTTTTAAACAGGGGCTGGATGGCCATCTGTCAGGGGTGATTTGAATGCAATATTCCTGCTTCTTGGCAGAATGGGGTTGGACTGGATGGCCCAGGAGGTCTCTTCCAACTCTTGGATTCTATGATTCTAAAGCTCTCCATCAGGCCAATATTGCAGCCCCAGCATGGCATCCCTACCTCCTCGTGTTTCCTCTTCCCCTGCTTTCACTCTTCCCGCCTCACCAAGGAGAGAAGCGGAAGCGGAATCGACGCTCCTGGGTTTGCTCTCTCCAAGGACTTCCTGGGCAAAACAATGCCCTGCCTCTCTAGGAAGCAGGATGGGCTCCATGGTGCTTTGGAGGCCCACTGTGTGTCAGGACCAGGCCCCACCAAACACAGGGCTGCTGGGTGTCAATGGAAAGGCATGGGTGGGAACTCACAGTAGAAGCATCTACACCAGGCATGGGCAAACTTTGGCCCTCCAGATGTTTTGGACTTCAACTCCCACCATTCCTGGCCTCAGGCCCTTTCCTTTCCCCCCTCAGCCGCTTAAGCTTCCAACATTTGTTGTCTATATTCTCTCCTGACATGTCACCTACATCTATGGCAGGCATTCTCAGAGGTCTAAGATCTACAGAGACACTCGCTGGAACACCTCAGCAAGCGAGAGTCCAAAAGTGGCAGGCTCAAACCCAGAACCTCAACCAATGGCTGATACCAAATGAGAGACTCCCCCCTGGGCACACAGAGGACTGGGCAACTTGGAAGGCACTGAACAGACTGCGCTCTGGCACCACGAGATGCAGAGCCAACCTCAAGAAATGGGGCTACAAAGTGGAATCCTCGACATGTGAGTGTGGAGAGGAGCAATGCACCCTGAGCCCTGCCACATGCACAATGGAGGACCTTCTTGCAGCAACACCAGAAGCACTCCAAGTGGCCAGATAGTGGTCAAAGACATTTAATCAACTACCAAACTCACAAATTTTGTATTCTGTATTTTGTATTTTGTCTATTTGTTTGCTTTGTTCTGTTAGAAATGTAATATAATTGACTGGTTGTTAATGACTCGATAAATAAAATCCTCAGAAGTTGTGAGGTCTGTTGGAAACTAGGAAAATGGGGGTTATATATCTGTGTAATGTCCAGGGTGGGAGAAAGAACTCTTGTCTGTTGGAGTTATGTGTGAATGTTTCCATTGGCCATCTTGATTAGCATTTAATGGCCTGACAGTTTCAGGTGTGGCTTCTTGCTTCCTGGAGAAATCCTTTGTTGAGAGGTGATTAGCTGTCCTTGATCATTTCTTGTCTGGGTTTCCCTTGTTTTTGGGTGTTCCTCATTAATTGCTATAATTTCAGAGTTTTTTAACTAGTGGTAAGGAGCCCCTGGTGGCGCAGTGGGTTAAACCCCTGTGCCGGCAGGACCGAAGACCGACAGGTCGCAGGTTCGAATCCGGGAAGAGGT